GGGACTCCACCAATGGCCTGTAAGTAGAAGAGCGAAACCAAACTGCGGTTCTCGATGCGATAGAGCGGAGGCAGCCGGGAGGCGTCAGTGACAATGATGAAGAAGGTGGCCGAGCGTAGAACGATGCTGACGCGGAGGAAGAGTGCGTCTGGGACGCTGCCGCCAGTGAGCAGGGCAGCTGTTGACGCAGAGGACGCTGAACGTCTTGGCAACCTACGTAATCACACAGAGGAGGAAGAGGAGATATAGACGCGGCATCAGCGTTTGCAGGCTAACATATATACATATTCATTGTCGGTATAAATGCTACTGGTAGTTTCAAGGAAGCATTTTAAAACTTGAAGCAATTTCAAAAAGCAGCATGATACTAATAATTTTAATGTCGAGATCTAGAATATAATTAAAAATTGAGCAAGTCGGTCTATGCAAACGCTTCTTTTCGATTTCGAATGCTCTAATGAAAGAGACTAATGGCAGAACACCGGCAACGCAGCCGCTGTCTATCAATGGTCAACCCGTCGAGGAAGTTAGCTGCTTTAGCTATTTGGGCTTGAATATATTAGTCAACGGGCACGCCAAAGAAGAAATCAGGAAGTGAACCGCGCAAGTTCGGAATGCATTTAGGCTGCTAGCCAGACCACTCTGTTGTCGCCCAGACATCAGCTTATGTACTAAGCTGTTAAGATACGGAGTATCTATCAGACTGGTGTTAGTATATGCCTGCGAAACACGGCCGGTCAGAAGGACAGACATTCTATCGCCCGACGTCTTCTACGTCTCCTGGCAGGATCGATTATCCAATGTTGAGCTATATCGCAGGTGTTTCAAACTACCAAGTCTAGCATGATACAGCCAAAATCGCTGATTACAACTGTTTGGCCATGTCCTGTACAAGCCAGGCTGGCCGTGAACCCCTCTCGTAGTGCAAACTGGAGATACCGAAATGGCTCAACACCCTCAAGTCGGGCATCGAACGCATGGGCCTCGTAACCGTTTACAGAGAAAGCCTGGGCAAAAGAAGTTCCCGTGTTACTCACCGAAGCTTCAGACTGTAGGAGCGCGGCATATCAATCTGCATGCCACCGGACCAGTGTGTGGCCACGTAGGCGTCCTTCGAGGTGCAGTTGAAGGCATCTGAGACCAGGGCACGCACGCACAGGAGCTGATCCAGATCTTGTCGCGGCCAGTGGAAAGACAGGCTGCAGTGCGGTTGGGTGTCCATGACAGCTTTTATAGTGAAGGCAAAAAGGAAGAGGAAGAAGAGTATAAAGATAGAACCTCAACAAAAACGAGGAAGGTGAGAAGAGACAGGCATACGCTGGCTCTGGGAGGTAGCACTTGTTTGGCTGCCACCCAGTAGCCAATAGCAGCAAGATATTGCATACTCTATGCTACACGTGCATCCGTCATAGTTGAAATTGTGACCTACGATAAAGCCGGAGTAATCACCTTTTACTGACATCTGACTTCAGATAAGCCGGTCGTACTATCGATCTAGCCGACTTTAGATCATTAAGATTATACAGAGCAACTGCGTCGAGCAAGCCTAGATTACCAGAACAACTTGCCTACGAAACTGTACCTAATCCAGCGCGGCTTTGCTAAGTTCGATTAAGCGTGCCTTGGTAAGGTCTTTGGGATGCTCATGCGACCACAGCTGGAATTCGGCAATCAGGCCCAGAGAACGTGGACTGTCAAGGACCGCACAACCGCTGAAAAGATCCAACAACCCGCAACGACGAGGCCAAGGCTGTCTGCCCTACGAGACACCATTGTCCAGTCTTAACCTGTTTCCTTTAGATTACTGATAACTACATGGTGACCTAATACACGCGTTTCGCATGCTGCGGGGTCACGATTGTTGCCTCGCATCCAGTCACTTCTTTGAGCTGGCACTACCACTAGATTGCGAGGACGTCCTTTGAAACTACGTGTGATTGGGGCAATACTGGACAAAAGGAAGTTATTTTTCTCCAGCAGAGTGATTGAGGTGTGGAATACTCTGCCTGCAGACATTGTCATGTCTCCAGCCAAGGACACCCCTGAGATGAAGCTTGGCCAGTACAGCCATGCGTACCACCACATCATACTTCACATTAAAACACGAGCCGAAATTGACACGTTACAAACACGCTACTTTCAATTTTTCAGTAGCGTTATTTTTATACTTCTTTCGTCAAATGCCCCGTATGCGTATACACTTTCCTCTTCCATGTTGTTGTAATCAATGGGGAGTTCAAATACATTCACTTACC